TCTCTTTGGAATGGGCACAAATACAGAGGTCTTCCATTCAGCCGGCCAGATAGCCGTCTTCCAAATTTCTTGGCATAGATAAGTGTGTGCCTCCAGTGCTGCCTCACTTTCTTGATAGATTTCAATTTTTATTCCATCAGTTCCTAGAGCCTTGTTCTTTGCCAATTCCTTCAATGCAACTTGGACTTCTTCCTTCAGTATCATTGGCTCTTGATCATATGCTACATCTGCAGGAAGCCTTCCTCACTGGGCTCACTGTAGCTCCATTTTAGGTATTCCAATCAGTTATAGGCAGAAGATGGACATACAAGCTTTCTATGGTGATATTTCTGGCTACTTCTTTCTCTCCCCTACAAGTCCCTGGCCTTGTTTTGACTGATGATATTGAGCTTTTCCATCGTCTCTTTCCAGAGATGTAGTAATTTGATTTCTGTGTATTCCATCTGGTGAGGTCCATGTGTATCTCTTACCGTGTCTAAAGAAGGTATTTGAAGTGAACAAATCATTGATTTTGCAAAATTCTATCATGTGATCTCCAGCATCATTTCTATTTTCCAACTACTGATCCTTCCTCTTTGTCCCCAACCTTTGCATTCCAATCACCAGTAATGATCAACACATTTTGATTGCATGTTTGATCAATTTCACATTGAAGAACTTGGTAGAATTCTTTTATTTCATCCTTACTGGCTTTACTGGTTGGGGCATAAATTTGAATAATAGTGGTATTGACTGGTCTTCCCTGTAGGTGCATGGACATTATCCTATCACAGACAGCGTTGTACCTCATGACTGATCTGGATATGCTCTTTTTGACAATGAATGCAACACCATTCCTCTTCAATTTGTCATTTCCAGCATAGTAAACCATGTGATTGTAAAATTCAAAATGGCTAATAGCAGCCCATGTCAGCTCACTAACGCCTAAGATATCAATGTTTATGTGTTGCATTTCATTTTCGACAATGTTCTGATTATTAGTGGATGTTTACAGCTGTTTCTCTTCATTTTGAATTGTGCCCCATCAGCAGATGAAGGTCCCACGGGCTTTACTCCATTCGCGTCATCACGGTCAACTCTACTTTGAGGAGGCAGCTCTTCCCCAGTCGCATTTTGAGCGCCTTCCAACCTGAGGGGCTCATTTTCCAGCACTATATCTGACAGTGTTTCTCTGCTATTCATGAGGTTTTCAGTGACTAAAGATTCGGATGTGGTTCATCACTCTTTCTTCTTAATCTGTCTTCGTCTGTAAGCTCATTTGAAACCTGTCCTCCATGGGTGACTCTGCTGGTATTTAAAATACCCATGGCATAGCTTCCAGAATCACAGCAACTCGCAAGCCACCAGAGTAAAACAAACTGACAGACAAGTGGTGGAAAATAATATCTTACAATATAATAATATACTGAATTTTCAGTAAACCTCATAGATATGCAAGGGTAAGTCAAAAAGTATTGTTACTAAGGTTCCAGTTCACATATGCATGGGTTTATTCCAAACAAAATGTGTTCAACCACATCTTTGCAATCAGTGGATGGTACAGACAAGTTCTTCCAGTAATATACTTGTCTTAGTTTCATTAGGCTGTCTTCAAAAAAAAAAAAAAAAGAGTGGCTTCCAAGGTGATCTGCTGGTCATGTTCAACTCAAGGCAGACAGGTCAGCTCAGAAGGTATGGCAACTGTCTTGGGAGATTCCGAAGGAGTAATCATTATAGATTTTCTTAGGATTATCAAAGAAGCATCTTAGCAAGAAGTGTTAAGAAAATGGTATTGTTGATAAAGAGGTTAGGAAACTTGTGCTGAAGACTTTTCTTCTGTCACAATGCACCTGCACATTCTTTCAGGGTAGCAAGTACTGTCCCATGAGAAGTTCATTGGGGAAAATCTACCCCTGCCACCCTACAAACCAGATGTTGCCCCTTCAGACTTCTTTTTATTCCCCAAATTCAAAGAACATTTTTAAAAGAGCACAGTTTGAGTCCCTCAAGGATGACAAGGCTGCTGTTTTGATGAGATGTAAATCAAAGAGGACAGAGTTCTTCCTGGAAAGGTTAAAGAGATGGAAACACCACCTTCAGAAATGTATAGACTTAGATGAAGGTGGTGGCTGTATGCCGTGGAGTCGATTCCGACTCACAGCGATCCTGTACAGGGTTTCCGAGGCTGTAAACCTTTACGGAAGCAGAACTCCTCATCTTTCTCCTGTGGAGCAGCTGGTAGTTTCGGACTGCTGACCTTGTGGTTCACAGCCCAATTCGTAACCACTACGCTACCAGAGCCAGCATCAGGAAAAAACTGCTTTATATTTTGATATCGTGCAATTTTATAACAATACTTTGACTTACCCTCATATCTAGGTCAATATCAGGATACTCAGTGGAATGTTGTTACTGTTGTTGATAGGTGCCATCAAGTCGGTACCGACTCATAGCAACCCTATTCACAACAGAATGAAAACAAAACACTGCCTTGCCTGATCATGCACCAACCTCACAACAATTGCTACCCTTGAGACCATTGTTGCAGCTACTGTGCCAATCCATCTTGTTGGGGATTTTCCTCTCCTTTGCTGACCCTCCACTTTACCAAACATGAAGTCCTTTGCCAGGGACTGGTCCGGTCCCTCCTGATAACGTTATCTGAACTATAAGTGACGAAGTCTTGCCATCTTGGCTTCTAAGGAGCATTCTGGCTGTAATTCTTCCAACACAGATTTGTTTGTTCTTCTGGCAGTCTGTGGTATGGTACTTTCAATATTTTCCACCAAAACCATAACTCAAATGAATCAGTTCTCCTACAGTCTTCATTATTCATTGTCCAACTTTCACATGCATATGAGGCTATTGAAAATATCATGACTTGGGTCAGGCGCACTTTCGTCCTCAACTGACATATTTGCTTTTGACCACTTGACAGAGGTCTTGTGCAACACATTTGTCTAATGTAATTGTCATTTCATTTCTTGGCTGCTGCCTCTGAGGGCTTATAGTTGATCTCAACAAAATGAAGTCTTTGACAACTTCAATCTTTTCTCCATTTATCTTAAAGTTGTTTACTGATCCAGTGGTTAAGGATTTTTTGTTTTCTTTACATTGAGGTGCAACCCATACTGAAGGCTGTGGCCTTTGATCTTCACCAGTATTATACATCCTCTTCACTTTCAGCA